TCCGCGTGGAGGCGGGTCACAATACCTCCGCCGTAGCCCTGCAAATTGCAGAAGGCGATGAAAAGGGAACCCAGTGCTTGGGGGTATAACTGGCCCACCCTATTACTTACTTACTTACTCATGGAGCTGAGCCCTTCTGGAGGAGCCGTCAATTCTGCAGCTACTCAAGAATTTTCCAGCATTTTTAGGAACCCGAAGGTTCATTAACGAATTCACAAGAGCCCTCCACTGGTCCCTATCCTGAGCCAGATGTATTCAATCTATATCATCCCATCCTATCTCTCTAAGATCCGTTCTAATATTGTCCGCCCACCTACGCCTTGGTCTTCCCTATGGTCTCTTTCCTTCTGGCTTTCTCACGCATTCCTCTTCTCCCCCATTCGTGCTACATGACCTGCCCACCTCATACCACCCTATTACTGGGGAACATAAATACAGGGACCTCATCCTCCAGGCTCGGGGGTGGACGCAAAACTAAAAAAAAAAATACTGTTGTAAAATCCAAAAAAGTGAAAATCGGATCAAATCTATCAGAATCTTCTAAGGAAGGTGATCTCTCAAAAGTACGCTGCTTTTCCAGTGATGATACACAATCTATCTTACAGACGAATGAAACGGATCGAAATTCCAGGCATTGATGATGATGATGATTATTATGACGACGACGACATATATATTACGGCCTAAAATTTCATTTGAAATGTCGTTCACTATGATGAACGTTTAATAGAATACAAGACAGAATGTTTAGCTTTCAACGATATATTCTAACAAAATCAAGGTCAATGAATTAGGCCTAGGTAAAAAAGAAGCAAACATTTTCGACGGCGAGACTATCCTGTTCGGATGCTATTTCTGTATATGACTGATGAATAAAACGGCACATGATTTAGACTTAACCTTCGTATTCTTAATTAAACACTACACAAAAGGCTCACTGTTAAAATTGCACTTGCTTGTTCACTCACTCATAGAACTGAGCCCTTCTTGAAAAGAGCAGCTACTCAAGAATGGTAAAAGAAGTAATTGCTGGGGTTCTAAAAGAGAAAAGCAATTCTTACATTATTGTGGCTATTAATTAGCTTCTCAGCACTCACCCTTCTCTATTGAATTAACTGGTAAATCAGTTTTATCTTATTTCATACCAGAATGGGCCACAGAATATTTCCCCCGACACCCGAAGAATGATAAAATTATGTTAAGAAGTATGAATGAATTAATGCATAAAGGGTGGGCCTTCTCGGCCCTTGCACCGCCAACCACAGTCGCCTATTGTGCTTATGTTAAAAAGTACCTTCAAAATATCTACACCACGGGTACACAAGTGGCAGATCTGTTCTAGCTTATGCAATAATCATTCTTACATTATGTTTTCCTTAACTACATACTAGCATAAATTTTCACCTCTAACACCTGCAGTACTGACGAGTAGAAGTCTTTATCGTAAATTACATTTATTTTTGTTGGGTAACTTAGTACGAATCAAGGTCCGACCGATAAAGTAGTAATAAGTTTCGTAGATGAGACTCGGCAGATTATCCAAGTTGACAAATTTTCCACACGTTTATTTAAAGAAGTTTTCATATGATGCCATAAAATAAGCAACAAAGTAGTTCCCTTTCATCATTGTAATCAGATTAACTCTAAAATCTAAGAATAAAAAAGAGCTGGAAACGCAGTAAATCCCCTTAAACACTTCGAAACATGACCTGCATACAACCAATACTGAGAAACCACAATTTTTCATTCATGCATTCATTTACGGAGCTGAGCCCTTCTTAAGAAGCCGCCAATTGTGCAGCTACTCAAGAAATTTTCAGCATTTTATGGAATTCGAAAATTCATTACCGTGTTCACAAGAGCACTAGACCGGTCCCTATCCTAAGCCAGATTAATCCAGTCAATACCACCCTATCCTATCTCTCCAATATCAATTTCAATATTGTTCACCCACCTACGTTTTGGTCTTCTTAGTGGACTCTTTCCTTTTAGCTTTCCCACCAATATCTTATATATATTCTCTTCATCCCCATTTGTGCTACATGCCCTGCCCATCTCATCCTCCTTGAATTTGACATTCTAATCATACTTGGAAAAGAGTACAAGTTATAAAGCTAGTCAATATGCAGTTTTCTCCAACCTCCTGTCACCTCATCTCTCCTCGGTCCAAATATTCTCCTGAGCACCCTGTTCTCAAATACCCTCAGTCTATGTCAGAGACCAAGTTTCACATCCATACGAAACCACAGGCAAAATTGTAGTTTGTATATTCTAATCTTTAGAAAGCAGACGATAAGACGAAAATTTCTGGACTGAATAATAACAAGCGTTACCCCAATTGAGCATCCTCCTGAACCAAGTTTTGATTTGTTATAGTCGTCCCCAAATATCTGAACTGTACCACATTTTCAAAACATGTTTTATTTATTTATATGTTATGATTTTCCCCTGTATTCTGGTGACGAGACAGCAACATATACTTTAATTCGCTTAGTGGGGGTTGGAGTCCAACTGGGTCCACTCGGCACGGCGGCCACTGATTGGCCTATTGTACCAGCCCCGAATGATTATGATGATGGAGAATTTTGGTAGAATGAAGATTGTCAGGCAAAAAGAAGTACTCGAAGAAAACCAGTCCCAGCGCCACTTTGTGATTAGTTTATTAATTAAGTGTAATGAACTATAAATTTTCTAGCTACTTGTGTAAACCATCTTTCTCTGTTCAGTTTTCTGGCTTATATGTTGGGTACATAAGACAGAGCTGCAAATACACTCACGCCTCCCCAAACTGCAAGTGAGAAGCAACTCACATCTGCAACAGCTTGTTGTTACATGAGTGTGGTACGTCATTGAAATATTCGTTGTCGAAATAATCAGAAGCATAATATCAGTAGAGCATCAAAGAGCATTAACCACACAATTTGATAAATGGACCTTCTGTAGGTGCGTGTATAAACATCCATTACACGAAGTAGCCTACGAAGCAACTGCATGTATCGATTTATGTTCATATGCATTTCTGCTCATAACTTCATTCTGATATTGACTCTCAACATAGGGTCGCGCCATAGCTCAACCGGTGAGTCGCTGGCTTCCCACCGCTGCGGTCCGGGTTCGCTTCTGAGTCTGGTCAAGTCTGATTTGTGATAGACAAAGTGGCGCTGGGGCGAGTTTTCTCCGAGTACTTTGGTTTCCCTTGCCAATCTTCATTCCACCAAATTTTCCATCATCATAATCACCCGGGACATGTACAATAGGCCAATCATTGGCCGCCGTGACGAGGGGACCCAGCTGGACTCAACCCCCACTAAGAGAATTAAAAAAAAATTAGGTACATTACAGTTTGCTTGTACGTGGCCCATGTGACGACCTTTATTACCGAACCGAATCAATATTTAACAAAGCGTTAATTATAATGCAAATAATAATTTTAGGAGCTGTTTCATATATGTGCAAAAAAGTGATCTTATACATTCTTCTTCTTCTGCTTCCTCTTCTATTCATATTGATTCGTTTCAAATCATTTTCTTAATCTAAGACAGTCGGTAGGACCTCTTGGACTGGGGACCAGCCCGTCGCAAGACCTCTACATAACACAAATACAGAGTAAACGCAGACATTCATGCCTTGAACGGAATTCGAACACACGATCCCAGTGTTCAAGCGGGCGAAGATATTTGATGCCTTAGACCGCTTGGCCACTGTGATCGGTCTCTCGCATATTAAAGGAAGGATATTTTGCAAGTTTTCGAAAACAAAATGACCATGAAAATATTGGACCTGTGACGTATGAAACAAGCTAGAAATTCAGCATATTGCATAAGGGTGAACTCCTCGAGTCATACAGGACAGTGAAGGCTGGGAAGCTTTGGTAGTTTGAACAAGTGCCTATGACGGAAGAGACGAGGGATGCATTGGGGGAGGGGGGTATTAGCTCCTAGGAAATATTAACTTGCCTGAAAACGAGAAGAGATGATAACACTAACATGCATCTTAGAGCAAGAAGTTTCTAGGATGAGTGGGCCTAGCTGAGGGTCGTGTTACACATGCTGAACCCCCTGGTCATAGTACGACGATATTAGATTACATAACACGTGGAGCCCATTCACATTACGTGAAGATGAAATGTTGGCAGGAACTGATGACAATAGGCAGGGCCTATTAATTATGTGTGAAGTTTAGATTCTGTCAAAACTGACAGGCACATAAATGCCTAGTTATATTACGTTAACATAAAATGACTCACAACACTCTCCAGTGTGATTAATAGAAGTTGCAATTAAATTTTTCCTTTTTTCCTTAACATGTTTCGGTCGGATTGACGATGATCGAAAGGACGCAATCAATATTTAGGAAACCACTATGTTGATGGCGTTCTTCTGAAGATGGTCAATCCGACAGAAATATGTTAAGGAAAATGAAAAATTTAAACACAACTTCTATTAATTAATCACACTGGACTGTGTTGCGAGTCATTTCGTGCTATTTCTAGTGTGACGGGCCAGGATGAGCCAAGTCCATATTACGTTAAGTTCAGAGTTTGACAGGAACTGATGAATTACAGCTACAAAATTTGGCAATGGACTGAAAATGTTGAAGGTTATTTTACCCTACATTCTGGTGCGCTGATATAAACATCACGTGAATCACTGCAGATATGTTTACTTACTCGTTGTAAATTACCAGCGATAATCAGTAGAAAATGACATAACGAAGCAACAGAGTAAAATATTGTTTCCTCGTAAACAAGGAACTATAGCGACGGTCGCTAATCTAAGCCAGATTCCTACGTATATCTTCACTAATGAGAAGAGGGGCTAGCCACTGGTGTGAGCGAAACTGTAAGATGCCGTAATGCAATTTAACAAATTAAGTACATCTTAGTCTCTCTACGAGTATTTACACTCTCCGTCTCTTTCTACTCTTTCCTTCCCTCTCTCTTCTTCGTTATGCATCAGAACATTTCTCCTTTTCCCGCCCAAACAATAGGAACAGATCTTTCATGTGTCTCCTCCGAAATGAATATAGCAGTGAAACTTGGACAAGACACGTATGTATAAAAAGAAAAGGAAACTCTCGTTTTAAGTCAGATCACATTTTGGCTTCGCAGGACAACAGAGAAACTCAAGCATGGAGTACAGTAAGGTAGGTCTAAGTATAGCATCACGCTTAACACAGATTACTGAAAAAGAAACACAGACCACAAAACGCATTTTAGAGCAGTAAATGTAACAAAATCTGCTTAAACAGAAGCTGACACTCAGAGTTTATGGTATGCATAACAATATTGCAATTCAAACTTAACGATAATAAGAAACATGTGTCAATGTGTTACTGTATGTTGAAGTTGTGTCTATTCTTGATTAGCCAAGAGAATGAGGACAGTCGTTTGAGACGATATTTTGGAAGAAAAATATCTTCTTGGAATATTGCTTGATTTACCTTATCCTCCACATTAAGACTCTTGGTTACGGCCGCACAAATTCGAAGTATTACGTGATTTTGTTTTTATTTTTAAGCAGCGTCTGTATAAATGAACGTATGTTGCGTTGTGGCCGTGTTTTCGTTTTCTTTTAAACTCCAAAAACCTGTAAATCCACTGCGAAGGTATTCGCTGTCAGAAATCTGTATTAAATATTGTCAAGTTAATACAATTTCGTACACAATCAGTGAAATGTGCTCCCTAATTTTCATGAAACTTCAACAAGTTTAGTATCTTCATGTGAATTTCAGAAAACATAAAACACAATAAACACACTTATTAGTTGTAAAACTTCCGTAATATTCTCTAGTAACAGCGCCAAAGCTACGGATTAAGTCAGGATCAAACTCGGTGTGATGAATCTCTCGTAAATGCTTAAGGCACAAATAGAAGTTGACCGTCCTCTCCGATGTCAATAGTAAGCATTGAGTATAGTGATGTGGAGTAATCTTTGTAAGGTAATTTCGACATCGGTTAAATGTGGTTCATTTTATGGGCCTCTTTAAATAAGGAAATAAATGAAATTATACAGTAATATCTTAAGCTTCCGAAAGACTTGGATTTCATTTTGTATTTACCTGCTTTAACCTAGATTAAATCTGCATTCTACACTCAGAGTGTATATGTATATATTTCGTAACCGTTTGCCTACACGTTCTGCGACAGTGACACTACTTCCCACCTCTCTCTATAACCGTCCCTTCTTCCTTCCGCCTGCGGCTCCGTCTGCATAGTAGTGCAGGGAGTGGGAGTCGAGGGCGATCGGCCCCTCTGCTCCGATGACCACTTTTACGCTGTCCTACCTTGTGTTGCCGCTGCTGAATTTACTAGGTCGTAGCTGGTTTCGATTTTATCCGGCTCCACCGCTTCTTCCTTAAGTTGAGATTATTAGTGGTTGGATTTCAGGACTGGATCCGATAATATGGGGGCCAACAACCAGCTAGAGGCTGTTTACAATCGATAGTAAGTGGTGAAGGGGTGAGCATGTGAAAGCTGATAGTGGGTTTGACTAGCTAGTGGAGATGAGTCTTTCTTCAGGTCTAATACGGGCCAGGCTCGGACAAGTGAGTATGAAACACCTCTGATGAACACAATGCACCCTGGACTTAGGCACTCTGTGAAATAGCTATTGGTCACGTGACTGACTACACACTTAGCGAGTATGGTTCGAGCGGCGAAGGATAGCTTACTTCCTAACGACACTTGGCTGTGTAAATCCTCACAAGCTGATTTAGTTTCGGCTGACTAGCCGCGGGTGTTACACCTCCACTAAAGTGCACTCGATCAGCTCGCCAAATTCCTTTGTGCTGCGCTCTTGTTGATTAAGCTATGAGTCGTTATGAGAGCAAATATTCTGGACTTCTTAGAATTATCTTCTAGCGCGAGTGATGCGGGGTTTGTCTCCGCCAAGTTCAAAAGTTGATAGACGACTAAAATCTTAGACTGAACTCTCTGCCGAGCCAGAGGTCCTAACTGAGTTTTATATGACTACTCTCCTCTTCTCCTAATTTTCCTGATAGGCTGATTAAAATGAGGGGAGTTGCCTTAATTTTGGTTCCGGCCAATGACAGACTATTTTTAAGGGACTTTCGCCCTAAAAGACCAAACGACGAAATTGACAGCGATGCAACTTATGATGGGTCGCTAATGATCTCATGGAACTCCTACATTTGACTTACGGCTGGTAGAAACTGTCACTTCTCGAATTCTCAGAGTGCCTTGCCGCTGTAGTGCTATTTCTACATTTCTAAAGAATCTCAGTGGGGTTTCTTGAAGTATCGCTTTCCTCCCTTTTGGAAAATAACACCAAATGCTTGGACGCAAGGACTAGCAGATGTCCTTGTCCGCGCAAGTTTGGTCTATCTGCTCATCGCCTATTCATTGTTCTTACAGTAGGTCTTAATTACAATTTTATTTCTTCGCAATTTCTTATTATTAAACTCTATTAGCTCCTTAAAAAAGGGGAGGGTGGATTTCGATGGTGCGGTTACAATTTGTTTCGTATGGTTTTCCAAGTAAACAGCGATCGTTTCCCTAAAGAGCATTAACCGGTAGGGTCTTTGCAGGGGAGGAGTAATGTGTTTCCTGTGAGGTACAAACCGGATTAATATATAATATTTAGCATAATTTGAATCTCTAAACAGTTCATTCAGTTTCCTATGCCTATAAACACAAGCATATCTACGAATATAGCTTGTACGTGTATTTCCTGCAGAATCGAAAATTTTGCTTGGAAAACAGTTGCTGGTATCTGTAAAGTACAGCTTTATTTCCTGTAAAACAGATAATAACGTCGAATAATTTCGAAAGCAATCTTCATATAGGAATACAAATTAAATTTTCTCCATCATAAACATTGTTGAAGCTTATACATTTAAATTACATTTCCCACCTGTTAATACAAAAGTGAAAAGAAATCACGGACTGCACCTTTGGAATTTAACAAAATAAGTAATTTATATTGAGGAACACAGTCAGAAACAAAATTCGGAATGTGTAATGTTGGTGTGGGCTTATGTATTGATTGGCTCAATGCAGAATAACCATGAAGTTGTTTTCGTTGGTCGACGATTATAAATAACGCGTACAGATTTCACATGCAAATAAAAAGCACGTTTTGAATCTCAACCCCGGAAGTCCGTTTGCATTTTCTTTCGTCAAAAATTGCCCATCCTTGAAGAAAGTGATATATTCATAGACGTATAGACCTCATATTCTGTAACTTGTGACTGACTGAGTTTTGAATATGGTTTACATCAAATTACAATGAAGAAAGCGTGATTCTTACCATTGTATTGGAAGTTCTTCCAACTTACGGATTCGTGCTACAGGCCCATTCCTCTATTCAGAGGCCTTAAAATTTCAAAAACATATGTTAACTTTAAAAGATGTTAAAAATTCAGAACTATAAGACAAAATCATGTCTTAATAAAACTGGGTGCCTCAGTTCCCTTTTGGAGTCCATATTTACACGCACTCCAACCATTCCGTAATGGTAATAAGTGTAATATGAACGTTGTGAAATATGAGGTTCACATGCCATGATTACAATCTTCAGGGATGAGGCTCCGTGCTATCTGGTGTATGTTCACCGACGTTTCGCAGAAGCCTGCATACCCTCCATCCCATTCTGCGACCCTAGAGAAGCAGACAGTACGTGCCTCTGAAATATTAGTCATATCCACCAGACTACACGGCATCACATCTCAGAACGTTGTAAGATTATAAGATTCTCACAGCAGGAAGTATGAAGATTACTATCGTCTGGGATGTGAAGCCGTATAGTCTGGTAGGTGTTCTCCGAAATTTCGTACGATAGCACAACTTCCATATTCACCCTTGAACTCTGAAGTTTGAGGCAATACATTCCTCCGGAATGACAATAAATATCTACCAGATTACACGGCGTCACGTAATGTAGGACAGTAATCGTCAGTCTCAATACTATTTTCAAACTTTCGTACAAAATAAAATTAAGTTACCCTTGAACTAACAATCTTCATGGAACTGAGTGATTGAAAAACCCACAGTTGTTCAACTATTCAAGAATTTCCTACATAAGAGGAAGATTCATTAATAAGTTTAAAGAACCCTCCACCGGTTCCTACACTGAGCTAGAGAAATCCAGTCCACGTCGCCCATTCCTATTTCTCTAAGATCAATTTTAATATTACTCTCCCAACCATGTCTAGGACTTCCCAGTGGTCTCTTTCTTCTGGTTTTCGAGCCAAACACTGTGTACATTTCTCTTCTCACTACACTCTGTCGTCACGTTGTGGGATCGCTTGTGCTTTTGGCCCACAGATGTGAGTCTCCCACGTTTAGGCGTTGAATTCAATGGAACGCACGTAGCCACGGCAGTCATGTAGAAGTTTCTCTTCAACCACTTCGCTATTGTTAAACAGTTAGAGTTCTCGTCCATACAACTATGTGCGTTGTGCTGGGATGTTCGGTAAGAAGAAACACTGTCCCACGTTTCTCTGTTGACCAGATCGTCTTGTTCTCCATGGGAACAGACCCAGTTTTGTCATATCAAGTTTTCTGGAAACTCCGAATGTAACTTGAACCAACAAGTTCCAGGATGAACTCATGAGAGATTCCTTTATTTCAGATCTTAAGACTATAAAAAAGAGCAAGCAGAATAGGACATAAATAACTAATATTTATGCCTTATAGTGTACAGGCATAGTTTGGATCAAACAGGAAGTTAAACAGAACATGTGGAGTCTGCATAATAAGGACTACCCCAATCTTTGCTCCTGATGTAATATTATTGGGACGTTGAAACCTAGGAAGGTGAGATGGGCAGGACATGTAGCTAGCAGAGAGGCAATGAAAAATCCAAACGAATATTTAGCGGATAGTTGACGTTAAGGGACAACTTAGACAAAGGGTTGCAAGGGGAGATTGTAGTGGAATGGATCTTGAAGGAAGTGTGTGAGCCGGATCCACCTTTCTCTGTGTGTGATCCAATGACGAGCGTTTCTGATCGATTTCTCCACAATCACAGTACTTCCCCGTACTACGTATAAAAACTCCGTGGCCTATAGTCCACAAGCGAACTATACCTACCGAGTGACTGCCGCTTGTCGGCGGAGTTAGTGCCAACTTTTGAGGATAGGGGGTGACACGTAGTCAGCGCAACGGATCCTCACGGCCGTTAATTTCGGTTTTCTAGACCGAAGCCGCCATTTCCTTGAAATAGTTACTCAATTATTCTCACGAGGCTGAATGGACCCCGTTCCAGACCCACTACTTCTCAGAAAATCTGGTAATGCTGGGAATCAAACTCGGGACCTCTGGATGTGTAACCAGGAACCCTGACCACTACACCACAGAGGCGGTCCCGTATTACGTATATGATAAAATATTCATCTGGATAAGCAATATGGATGGTGCATCCCATACTACCCCCATATCAAATCCGTCAACTAGGAAGGAGTTTACTAAGTAATTACCTCACTTCATTACAAAAATGGGGCAGTAGGGTTTCCGGATTTTCTGCATGCGTTGATATGCTGTTAAACGCATAGACCTTGAAATTCGTCCCTGCCGATACAAATATAAAGTTTTAAATCGACTCAGTTTTCGCGTTCTACAATGCATAACTAAACTAACTAACTAGGTCGCCTAGTAATTCCTGTCTTTCATGAAAAGTTCTGCCTTCTGCCTAGACGAAGATGGGAGTCTAATATCATAATGTATCTTAGGGAGGGAGGATGGGGCGGTATGAATGGATTGAGCTGGTTCAGGATAGGGGCCAGTGGAGAGCTCTTGTTAGCAGGACAATAAACTTTTGCTTCCCATAAAGTTTTGGGACATTCTTGAGCAGCTGTACGGTTGGAGGCTTTCAAGAAGGGGCAAGATCTATACAGTTAGTTCAGTTAGTTAGTCACATATAGAGTTGTCTTTTTTTTTAAATAGCAGCGGCTTAATTAGTCTAAAAATTTAGGGCATATTATGAAACCCAAATGTTCATTTGCCCTGTTCACAAGAACTCCCCACTGGTCCCTATCCTGAGCCACATGAAAGTACTATATTGATAATTGTTTAAAAATACTATGGATAACAGTGAGTGTCATGCATTTTATCTCGTGTAGCGTAGTCTATAAGAATTCTATTATAAGACATATTAGAAGAGAAATGCATGAAGTTCGATGCGTGCTGCATACAATATAGGCATTAGGGTTACGCTGAAGTAATGTTAATCAAAGCGTAACTAGTCCTACAACTTTAATTGCTATGGGTCCCAACCCAAACATAATCATAAGAATCAATTCGCTATTTCTGTAGATGAAACATTATAACGGAAAAAAGACATATATAACAAGTAAAGTCCACAAAGCTTTCTGGGACAGAGTTCCGCTGCTCTTTAACGAAACACAGAATGAAGAGATTAAACTCATTTTGTACAGATAAAGTTATGTTAAAGCTGACAACTCCTGGTAGATGCTCGTAAGCAACGAATTTCTGCAGTTCTACACATTTATGTCCGTAAGCATTTCGATAATTTGTTGCATATTATAAACAAACATTAAGTTTCTTTTCTTAGATTTGGGTAAGGGAAAAATTGTGTATCACGTGCAGCATTGTTCCGTAAACAACCTTCGCTCGTGGAATGGAGTTGCGTGTTAAGAAGAAATGTACATCTACGCCACGTGTTCAAGTTTAAGGTTAAGACGCAGCTGAAAGATAGCGTGTTTCCTGCACACTATGACAATATTGCAACATGCCTTGCGCAATTTAACTCTGTGTTCTGCAACTAACTAAATTAAGTTCATCCTGCCGCATTAAGTGCGCCTCGTGCGACAAGGGCATGGCGCGCCCTCAGGTTGCGTATTGAGAAGACGCCCCATAGATGCGTAGGGTAGCTGCGAATATATTGGACAAGCAGTCGCGGACAGCCGACAATTTGTGGTACTCCATTTTTGTGGTTGGGCGTGGGGTTACACAACTCCACACTATAAAAAAAATAAGCTTGTTATGAAATTTCACAAAAGGCCTACGGTTTGGACGATTTTTTTGGGATAAGCGATCTAAGCTAAAGGAAATGGATGTGAGATTTGATACGTGGAATATGAGAAGTGTGTATAGAATAGATTCGTTCATGACAGTTGCGAAAGAAATATCAACATATAAGTTAGATTTAGTGGAACTGAATTGAGGGCGTTTGAGAAGAGGGTATTAAGGAGAACATCTAGACCGAAGAGAGATGAAGTGACATGACGTTGGAGGAAACTACCATACATAATGAGGAGCTTCATAGCTTGTACTCTTCTCAAAGTATAATTAGAATCATCAAGTCAAGGTGGATAAGATGAGTAGGGCATGTAACACGAATGGGGAGAAGAGGAATGCATTTACGGTTTTGGTGGGAAAGCCAGAAAGAAAGAGACCACTAGGAAGACAAGACGTGGGTAAATAATATTAAAATATATATTAGACAGATTAGGATGAGGTGGTGCAGGTTGGATTATTCTGACTCAGGATAGGGACTAGTGAATTATTTTTGTGATCACGGTAATGAACCTTTGGGTTCCATAAAACATTGGGAAGTTCTTGAGCAGCTGTACAACTTGCGGCTTCTCTAGAAGTGTTAATTTCGATGGAGTCAAATTCACCCCGAGATAGAACGGTACGCTTCAACAGCAAAAGACCAGTGTTATCACAAAGAGTTGTCAGTTCTTACTCGTTTAACGTGGACTGTGAATTAAACTTGAAAATACTTTCAACTAATTATGCCTCCTCCTAGGGATCATAACACATTAACAAATGCTTTCGTTAACTGAGCCTAACTAATTCCAATGTGACGTGAAAACTATAATTCGTATAAAGGAAATGCATCATAGCATTAATTAACTCGCTTCCGTGATTTGTCTGTCTATTCATTTTAGGTTTCAGCTCTTATTTCTCCGATAGATTGTTGAAGGGCATGACACATCACATAAATAATGACTTTATTCATAATATTAGTTCACAGAATTTATATTTATATCATTTCAAAATGTGGCACTTCTGTTACAAGTTCTCTTAATCACACTTACATCAGGGCTATCGCTGATTTACACATTTTCCAGTTCACCGTTACACAGCCACTAGAATTCTCCGTCTTCTCTAGTCGTCTCCTGACAACAGATCTGAACAGAGAAACTATAACTTCAAATCACTATGAAGTCTTCTTGCCATTTCTTGTCCATTCACTCCGGAACCTCGGAACTCAACTAAAAACTATTCTTAACTGCAAGCGGATTCGTGCTATAGAGGCACGGACAAAAGCAGAAAACACAGTTATACTCTTGCGTAACGCAGATTACACAGAAAACACGTCACGAGATAGCTAAAGCACTTTTGGAATGTGAAGTCATTGCGCCTGCGCGGAAATGTGTTTACCGAGCCGTTGCCTAGAAGGGGGTTGCATAAACCCGTTGTTCTATTGTTGCTATCGTGTATTACTTAGAAACGGCTTTTCTGTGGCTCAACAGTTTTTCTTTTCGCGTAGCAAATGTGCCACAGTATTAGGTGTGAATCGTACTTCTTGTTTCTATGTGTGAAACTTGATCAGTCACATTAATGGAAGGACAGAGATAAAGCTTGCTCAAGAAGATGGTGCTTAGGAGAACATTAGGGAGTAAGAGGGAGAGTGAAGCAAGGATGGAGGAAGCTGCATAGTAAGGTGCTTCACAGTTGCTATTCTGCTTGAAGTGTTATTAGAATGATATGCTCCAAACATGAAATATGCCTACTCATGAGACAAAAGAAACAACACAGTTTTAAAACCTGAAAATAAATTATCACATAGATGGGAGGGAAATATTACACTGGATCTTCGAGAAATATGGTGCAAGGATTTAAGTTAGAATCATCTGGCGTATTGTTTGAGAGCAGGAGCGGACACTTGGGAATGCAGTTACAGGATAGCAATTTCTTAACTAGCTGAGTAACTATTAGTTTCTAAAGAAGAAATCTGCTATATGGAATTAGTATTAACCAATATGGAATCGTAAGTTTATTTCACTGTGGAAGTTCAACAAAGGACGCAATTTAAAACGAAATTCAAGAAAATATACTATAGGACATTTCCTTTCATTTAAATTCAAGGAATAAATATGCTTTGCAGCCAAATGCGTGGAGTCTTGATCATCGTGTAAGCACAGTGTCCTTGGTGTAGCTACTCTTGATAATATCGGTTAACTTTGGAGCTCAGCTTTCCACCCTCTGCTCTTTCTTGTCTCACTCACATCTCATGCTCTCGGAACGTCGGAATTGAATGAGTTTCCGGATAGGCCGTAATGTTCTCGACACTTCGTCTTATCTCAGCGTTCTAGCAGAACACTAAACGCAGGAAGCTGCTTGCAAGGAGAGCCGAGAAAGATTCAACTGCATTTCTCAGACAACCAAGTGATTATTAGCACTAACTTCGAAGTATGAATGTTCTGTCAGTTAAAAATATTCTTTATAAAGCAGTGATTACTATGTGTGTCACCTATTCTAATTTCCGGTGCCACATCATTTATTCATAGAGCGATCGCGTTTACAGGATATACAATTATATTAACATTTTGAACATTATCCACTGTCCAGCTTTTATTTCAAACAACGTTTCGGATACCGGATTCTGCCTCTGTCCTCAGATAAATATGGTACTCAGTTGAACTCAATAAATAGGACTAGTCGATTAGCCACTCAACACGAAGGTTCGCTACCGTGCGCACAAGAGCTCTCTACGGGTCCCTAATCTGAACCGGATTAATTCAGTCCATATCACCACATCCTATTTCTCTAAGACAAATTTTACAACCACTTTCTTATATAATGTATTCATGTGTGTGAATTTGTGACGTGCAATATATTTCGGAGAAGGGAAACAAGTTACTATCGGGCAGTAAATTTGTTTCTCTCATTTCCTAAGCATCTGTCCTCTTTTGAGTGTCTTTGTGTCAGGTTATGGGTGCTTTCCTTTTGGTGGCAGCTGTCCGAGGAGGCCATCTGGATCAATCAGGAGGGTACGGTGTTCCAACAGGATCATCTTACGGCCCGCCCGTTGTAGGTGCTCCATATGGCGGCGGCGGTTACAGCGGGGGGTCTACATATACTGGGGCAGGTTACAGCTCGAGTGGACATGGAGGCTATTATGATCAGGTAATCAGGTATTCCTAAGCGTACCAGCTCACTTCAGAGCTTCTACTGTCTCACATTTGACGTTCAGCCATCCTATAAACGTGTCGATCTATTCAATGGGAACTCTTGAACGCTGGTAAAACAGTTGAAGCATAAGTTGAGATTAAGAATTCGCGAATGTTCACTCCCTCACACGTATTCAAGGTTTGGTACATTCTTTATCACTTACATGTACAACGGTATGGTAGCCGGAAAGCGCAGTTGGTACAGCAAAGGGCTAGGACTGCACAATGAGGGTTTGAATCCTGATAAGGGCAAGGAATTATTTTTCTCTGCTCTACAGCGCCCAGCCCGGCTCTGGAGCCCAGCCAACTTCCTATCCAGTGCGTTCTGAAGGCAATTTATCTGGAGTTAAAGCGGCCGAGTTATGAAGCCGACCACTCTCTTTCATCTAGCGCCAAGGTCAAGAATGGTGCAATACATCCACTCTCCCTTTCGTCCTCAGTGCTTTAAAATGTAAAGCTATCCCTGTATCAGGCTGTGGAGGCCCATAGGATTGTGAGACGTTGAGGCTCCCACATTTTCTAGACAATTGGTTCACAGACATCAGTGAAGTTCTCAGACTTACGCGCCGGCAGCCCTTTACCTTCAGGAAGATTCATTGTACTCATTTATGTTAGATGCTGAGTCGACCACAGGTCCACAGTGCAACTGGAAGTGTTGGATCAATTGAAAAAATCTAATAAACTCGTCGGGAATCGAACCTGCGATCTTCCGGCTCGTAACATAGTGCCTCAGCCAACTACACTACCGCATTCCGTCCGTCCTCAGTGCTTAATGATCACTTGATTAAGCAGAGGGATAACTTTGCATTTTAGAGCAGGAGAGTATTAGTGGCATGGTTACAATAATAAATTTCACGAAAATCACTGTTTGTTTTGTTCTTTTGGACTTATTTATGACGTTGCCAGTAGCTCAGATCATGCAGTGTGGAATGATACTTACTTACTTACTTACTTACTCATGGCGCTGAGCCCTTCTTGAGGAGCCGCCAATTCTGCAGCTACTCAAGAATTTCCCAGCATTTTATGGAACCCGAAGGTTCATCACCGTGTTCACAAGAGCCCTCCACTGGTCCTATCCTGAGCCAGATCTATCCAATCCATACCATCCCATCGAGGAATGATACTATGACTGGTAAATAATGACTTGCAAAGAAATTCGAAGAAGGGTCCGAGTTCTAATTTGGGGTACCGTATTATCCCAGTATCTTCCAGATGGGACTGGGAAACTCCCATTCAGAATGGCCGGTCTCAGGTTCGAGTAAAAGTGACCAATTGACATCCACAATATTGATGTCTGTAGTTGGATCAAGGGTTGCTGCATGATAATAAAGTTGAAAATTAAATATAAAAATTAAACCAAGTATCAATTTATGTATCGAACTTTGTTAATTAGAATAATGCGAAGGCATGCTGACCATTTATTAACAACACTACACAAAACTTTCTGGCAAGAACATCCTTGTAAATGTATCAGTACTACAACAGAGACTTGCAAAACGACGTGACCCTCAAGTGTCAATGTTAAGCACAGCCCCTACTCGCATATGAAAGTGCAGTACTTGAAAACACTAAATACAAACACCTTCTGCATCACATGCACTTGTCTGTCAATCAAAATTAGCATTATATAATCTCATTCTCAGCAGCCGACAGATATTGATTCCGAATATGAAATCCACGTTAGAATACATTTCCATTAATAATAATTACAGATCATTTTAAAATTAAATGTGAGGTTAGAAAAATAAATTCCGAAATCTGAACTCCAGAGTAATGACGCATTATTTGGTAAATACCTAAAAAAACTTGCTGTATTTCGTAACTTGGGACCAGTGCTATAACTGTGATGTACATTACAAGTTTAAATGAAATCGCTGCGCAAGCTCAACTGATATATTCAGTGCATTTGCTTAAACAAAGTTGGAACTTACGATTCTGGCCACGGCACATCTGAGACAGTGCTTTATAAACAATTCCAAAGAATACCGTCCTATGTTTCCAGTGAACTATCATAATGCCAGTACATGACCTTCACGTCAAGCTCGACAGTGAAATAGAAAGTACTGCTCACGTCACCGGGCGGATGATATATATACATACAGGATAGTCGAGTGTTGAGTAGAATATTAACATTATCAGGCCTTAATTAGCCTTCTACACATTATTCATTTATAATATATCAGTTATAATCAATTAATGTGCTTATTTTTCAAATGACGACATGTTTCGTTCAAAAATTTATTAACCTTTACAAATAAAGAAAGAGATTAATTAATTGCATAGAGTAATTCCTTTGCACTCGTCAAATCCATTTGCAATGTGTTATTACATGTCATGTCTATAGTACACAAGATAAAATATATAATTATGTCTATTAATTTAAATGTATTAGGGTATTGTAGGTTGTAACTTAAAAATGTGTTAACGTGGGGTTTATTCGTAACAAGATTTTATATTATGACTGGTTCTTTGTAATATTAGTTTATAAATCATTTGTAATTCAAAGCCAATGATAACAGCTTCATTCTTTATATGCTTATATCTCGATTTATTTTATTTAGTACAAAAGACAAAGTTGCACAAAGTAGGCCTACGACAAAGTTTATACTTACTCCTTTAGAAATGAGATAAAATATTTTCAGTTTATTTTTTTTAATTATGAGTTTCAGAATTTATTGCATACGACTCTTACAAAGATTTTGCAATGAATGACGTGTAAATCAAGTCCACCTCTCAGTACAAGAGATAAAACGCTACGAGTACATAGAAGCATTTTCCGCGTAGATACGTACAAATGCACTCGTAAACAAGCATTTACGTACATAGAATTACTGGGTTTTGGACTTTCCGATTGTCCGGAATTGTAGATAATAGAGGACACGACGTTTCAGAAACTGGATCTGTTTCCATCTTCAGGTGAGAAAGGAAGACACCTACTTAGTTGGGCCCCTTAGAAAGAGCTAATCTCAATCACAAGGGGTCCAACTAAGTAGGTGTCTCCCTTTCTCACCTGAAAACAGTAACAGATCAAGTTTCCGAAACGTCGTGTCTTGTATTACCTAGGATTCCGGACGATGGAAAAAGTCCCAAAACCCAGTAATTCTGGGTGTCATCCACCATCGTCAGGACCCTTTAGAAGAATTTAAATGTTGTGTATAACATGCCAACACTCACAATACTGAAGATTACTACTCTCCTAACGCCGTGAAAATGAAAAGGCAGTACTCTTCATAGTCACTGCTGTTAGAACCTCAAATGCAGCACACAAAATGTTGATTTTCTAAGCTATAATAGCCACTAATCACAGTGATATAAATTGAGACACAACATAAACAGAGTAGCTTGTAAAACTGCTTGATGCACGTACTTCTATGGCTAAAAGGTCATGTTTTCAGAACGTCTTAGAGCATGGTAGATTCACTAGAGTCTTATAGTCTGGTTTCCGCTTTAAAGCATACTGGTTACTATACGCCACACACATTGACATTAGGATAACTCCGCTTTCTTCCCGCCGTGTGAACATGTCTTTTTGACGTTTCTCACAATAGAAGCAGTGATTATTTCCCTAAAGAGTTTGAATTGGCTGGTCTTTACAATGGAGATATAGTGTGATTACTCTGAGGTAGGAACTAAATTTTTAAACAGTATTTACGAGTACAGCCGATGACAGCCTTCGCGTGGCATAAGGCATGAACGGCCTTCGCCCGCTCGAACACTAGAATCGTGGGTTCGAATCTCACTCAAGGCATGGATGTCTGTGTGAGTTTATTATGTGTTTGTGTGTGTTGTTCTGTGTGTAGGTAGCGGCCTTGCGACTGGCTGATCCCTCGTCCAGGGAGTCATGCCGAATGTGTATGGAATAAGACATTTAGCGGCCAGGTCCAAAAGGGCTCTAGATCCATGGAGAGATTTAGAAGTAGAGGAACTTCATATTTCAAATGAATTTTCTGACTGTTAAAGCCAAGGGAAGCTACTCATGTCAGACCCAGTACAAATACCTTACGGCAGTTGTACTAACAACTGCAGCTACTCTCTAGATAAATCCAGATTTCTTCTTCTTCATGCTTCCAAGAATGAGTGTTGTACTTCTCTCTTGTATATAAATTTAATTTTAAATTGATGAAAATATGGGGCCACCCTTTTAAGCATAATGAGAACTTATTAAATAATATTTAGAATTCGATTGCGCGTATTGTTTTGAATAGCATCGCAAATCTTCGCATTGAGCAAGATGAAAGGGGAATATTTCATCCTCTAATAAATGTGCATTTCTGTCAGAGTACTGACTCTTAAACACAGGAAATATAAAGGTAAAAATATCCTTGTGTTTAATGAAGACACATAGAAGTGTGGACGTATAACTGCACCAGTCCTAACCTCGGCACTGCATTGAGTTAAATGATTATTTTCACACGACAGTAGATTCAGTACATTATCACAAATTCAACAGCTACCCTTAGAGATGCGCAAGTGATGAGTACACGTATGGTCAAAATTAGTACGGTCTCACAGGTAAAACATATCTGATAGTGGAGTGTTTCGATTCCTGAAAATTGTGGGACTCGAATTTTGTAAAATGAATTATTCCGCAACACAGAGCAAAATATAATATTTCTGGCATGAATTAACTCACTGGTAGTCACATATACATAAATAATTCTTACGTTTATCTATTTTTATATACAAAGTTGAATTTAGGTGTTCAGTTCTAATATTTTGTATTAGAGAAGAAACGTGTTTGATATTTGGCTCGGAAATCGGCAGCTATTGTGGACGATGTTTTTTCGGGGAATACTCAATCCATCAATGTAAATGCTGGGATAATAACATATATAATGAACACTGTCTGCAAAATTTTTTTGCAATTCGACGCCCAAAGTCATACTTCAATTCGACCCGAGCTATTTCAAACAATTCGGGGAAACTCTCTGAATCAAAAAATTTTTGCTGTGAAACTTATTTTATTGTGGTCGATATTCCTAGTCACGTCCGTATGAATTTTGTAAGAGCAAAAAGTTGATTGAAACTGGTTTGAAAGTCAGAGAGAACTGGTGGTCACGGATGCGTGAACTTCTTCCAGTATTATGTGATATGTTGCCATCAGAGTGTACCAGTTCGGTCATACAGGATTACTATAAAAGATTCATTCCATTTCAAAACACTACATTGGTCGCCCCGTGCTTTTCCGTTTACACAGACAATCCGTATCCTTAAACTGCCGATACTACCACAGAGTGCTCTGTTTACATGGTGGTTCTTTTCTATGATCTGCTCTGCATGCACGCTGCACTGCAATAACAGACGAACATCGCGCATAATCCAGCACACAGAAACTCTGTTCCAGCTTCGTCACCATTTTGTGAGGCACTGCATTCATGCTGCCAATTGGTGTATGACGATGCAAACTTCATGAGTTTGCGGTTCCTTTCATGTATCAATCATATTTGTATGTGCAATACTTTGGAAAATTTAGTGTTTTGAAAAGGAATGAATCGTTCGTAGTAACTCTGTATTGTGGCGTCCACTTTCCTACTCTTGTTTAATCCACCTAAATTCAAGCTATACCAGTTCCGCTACGTTATAAATCTGCACTTTTAAGCACTTCGCAGTGTGAGTAACCTTCTACGCATCAAGCCTACAATTTTTACTTTTGTCGCAGTTCCCGTCACACCAGTCCGCCTGCACTTGTCTTCTGTTCTTTCAGGACAAGTTCCGTCAACTATGTTGCACACAAGCAGTTAGTCTGTACTTTCTGCTCTTCTCAATGTCCGTGTAGTAAATTCCTGCTATGCAATAAGCCTGCACTTTCTACTACAAGTTCAGTCCAAATCATGCTAATTATGATAACCTGTTAAGCCGGATATCGTTTGCGCGCGGCAATGTTCGTTGCTTTGCCTCGCAAAGTCTGTACCATATTGCTGTGCTCGGCAGAACGAACATTGCCCCGCGCGAACTTGGAGCGTGTCGAGCCAAATCGGAGCCGTTCTTTGTCCCGCGGCAAAGGGATTTCAGTGCGCTGTGCTCTTTCGGTTGAGACGGTCTTGTAGCTTTCCGGTATTTCTTTCGCGGCAAAATGGAGAATGAAAAGCGTCTACCTCTCTTACAACTTATAAATCTAAAGAGGTACTGTAGAATTCAAAAAGTGCTAATTACCGTAATAAGTTATACGCGAGGGCGCATGGAAGGACATAGATGTCGAAATGAAAATGCCAGTTCAGGATTTAAAGAAGAAAATGACAACTTTATTGGCTTCACACAGAAGAGAACAGTACCGAATTAAGAAGTCTCACATAACTGGTTCTGGTACGAATATATTTATTAAATTGCTAGTCTACCACTGGTATTATCTGTAATTATGCTGATACGTACATTAATAATATATTTTCTTCGCTAATGTTGAACATTAACATAAAGGCAGCCGCTGCACGTGCAGTGTTCATGGTGATCTCGCGAGAAGTGTGGAACAGCGTCGATCAACAGCCCCACGCGTCTGTCGCGCTTCGATGCTGGACAGGAGCACGGTAAACAAAAGAACGAATTTTCCGCCCACGAACAGCTGCGCGCGGTAGCCTCGCGCAATCGATACCCAGCCTTAGGCTGCATTTTCTGATCTTGTTTCAGCCCATTGTGCATGTTCACCTACTCTACAAGCTTGCAGTTTCCACTCCTCTTGTGAAACACAGTAGATCACTGTAGGTCGCAGTGCAAGGGCCGAGAAGGCCCACCCCTTGTACATTCACTCATTATTCCACTACTCTTTCAATACAATTTACATTAATTCTGGTAAGATGTTCTACACTTGTTTCAACCCGAATTTTACTACATCTAATACTCTATAAAACTGTACTTTTTACTCCTGTTCCAGCCTAAGTCTTACAAGTTCGGATACGCAGTACGAGACTATGCATCAGGTAATGATTACAACAGACATGAGACCAGTGACGGAAACACGATCCAAGGAGAATACCGCGTCCAACTTCCGGACGGACGCACACAAATCGTCACGTACATCGCTGACTGGAAGAATGGCTACCGCGCCCACGTCAGATATGAAGGCGAAGCTCATTACCCCACCGGAAGTTCGTACAACCCTTCTTCTCACTATGGAGCACCGTCACCCCACTACAGCGGTGGCTCCAGTTATGGAGCTCACGGAGGATCGAACACTGGATATGGAAGTTATTCCACTGGGTATGACGCAGGCCCTTCTTATGGCAGTTCATCTTCTTACACACCTTCTGGATATGGCAAATAATTCTTCTTCCTTGCATCATCCTCTACGCTCATGACAATCGCATTAGTTTCAGCACCTCCATGAAGCGGAAAGATTCCTTCTCTGTCACGGACTTCTCTGTGTGCGCACAGTGAGTGTGAATGCTGCGTCACATGCACCAATGTACGTGCGCGATATTTCATGGTTACTACATCCCATCACTCCCTTCAGCAGAAATGTGGCGCTCACATATATAAACTCTTATCTGCACTGTGCCTATACAATGTTCCATAGAATGTATTTTCATGTTAAACTGAATGAAGTAATTTGTAAAAAATATCATACATAAATCCTTTAACCCGAATGTTTTTCTCGTAATATAAAAACGTTTACCAAAGACAAGACAATTCCTGCCTAACTCAATTTAGCACGTACCGCTTGAGAAGCTTATAGTTATTGAGCGAGTCAGAAATTCTCACAGTTCATCAATGTTTTCACAAGATACCACCGCTGCTCTTTACATAAAAACAGGTCTATCTGCTCCACATTCTGCCATCCTATTTCCTTGAGAGTCATTTTAATATTATCCTCCCACTTACGTCTAGGAATTCCTAGTGGCCTCTTTTCTTCGTCTTTTCTATAAAGGATTCTCTTCCATCCGCGTTACATGTCCTACCCTCTCATCTTTCTTGGTAGGATCGTTATAGCAATATTCAGCGAGAATTATAAATTATGAAGAATTGTAAATAAAGAATATTCTTATAGGAACAAAAAAATTGGAAATTAATACAAATACTCCAGAGGAATTGAATTATTTCCGAAAAGGAACCATAAGATCACTTCAATATTTGGTACCCTGAGCCATGACGGTGTGTAATCTGGTATGTGGGTATCCGCCTTCCTTACTGACAACTGTCACAATCCAGAAGAGGACACAAACTCGCCATAGTAAAACCTCAACTCTAACACAGAATAACACTCGTTGAACTGTCGCCCAGAATAGTAGGTACAGGTGTAATCATTGTGTCTAAATTGTCTTAATCATCTTCTTCGACATCATTAGCAGCAGAAGTATTGTACTTATTTCCATGACGTATACTTGAGGAGGTGAAAGTTCCTGAGGGGCTCAAAATATTTTCCCGGCTCCTATAGAGCGCAAAGTTTATTACAGTGTTTAAGAGATCTACCAATGGTACCTATCGCAATTCCAGCCCACAGTAGCAGGCAGTTATTATTTCAGAACCTTAGTAATATTTCTCTTCTATCAACGACTTCCTTTAAGTCTTTCATATTATACTTTTGGCCAATTTCTCACTATTTCCGTGCGTGGTAAATATTCTGCCCAATTTAACATCTTCCATTTGATCACCTAGAACGGAATTCTGAGCACGTAATTTCCTTTTGCACAGATTCCTAGTCTTACAGTTGTATTAATATCACTTTGTTATTTCTTTTTATTTTTGTGAAGAACATATTTTATAGTAAGTAGGTCTCCACATCCCACATTAAATTTGCCCATTATTGCCTTAAATTGTTGCGCTGCCGCCATAGAAGACGAATTTGTATGTTCATAACAACAGATATTACATTCCTCGTTACAACAATTTGTTAGGCATCTCTATCAAATCCAAAACGAAAAAAAAAAAATCTTAGCATGAAAGCCAAGTTTCAATTTTACACTCCTCAAAATATTTATTTCACAAATATTTCATATCTGAGTTTCTCACAGCGGTGACTTGCCTCCTTGTTGCTGCATTCTTGCTTCAGTTACTCTTCGACACTGAAGACGGAGGCAGTACTTTCCTCCGAATCGTCCGTGGGCTTTCACCAATCTACACAGACTCACAACCCAGAGCACGGTGATGAGACTTCGGATGTGCTACGTGTAGGGGAACATCACAATAACCTAAACGACTACCATTGTTCCATGGAGCTGATACTCCATTGTGGAAAGCTGATGAAATCTTCTCGGGCTGTCAGCAGCGTCAATTGGTTATTAACTGCCGACGTTTCAAGGACCAACTTTTTCACTACTAGGTATGATGATGGTCCCTGAAACGTAGGTAATTTTCAACCAACCGACACAACTTAAATTCCGAGATTTTATCAAATTTAGTCACCTTGAAATCTGCGATTTTTACATTATCGATAGCTTAGCAATAGAATTGGACTCACAACACAAAGGAAGCGATGTGGATTACACTTATATTGCAACATATGCTGTGAAGTAATCCATTGTTAGGTCGTGATAACTAACCACTTACTTGGTGCAGAGTAATCGTGCTTATTTATTTTCAATTAAAAGAGGAATGAACTGGAAAGGCATCTACAGCAATGGCTGTTCTAATAGCATTCTTGAAAGAAACAAATCATTCGAAAAAAATGACGGATCAAACCGGTTTGAGTGCGATCCTGCTTGTGTAGTTACTTACGTTTATGGAAGAAGAATGTATCCCAGTTCACCCAGTTCTGAACTGCCTCTCACTATCTGCTCATCGGCATTCTTCTCCAAAAACGTGAACACGTTTGGAGAATGAATCTGGCAGATGGATTCGAAACCGGACACATCGGTTTATAAAACTATCCCGGTCATGTAGAATTTTAAGGTCTCATGGCGGTGAATACGAGTCCTATCTTCTGGGATATAAAGTCGTGTAGTCAGTTGAAAGTGAAGTTAGTTGACTTTCAACGGCCTACACAGCGTCGTGTCTCAGAGGACAAGGTGTTCTGTGTTCCTGTCACTTCCTTCGCATCGTGGTCTTCTTGGAAATGACACCATGTAGTTTCGTAGATGGCTATCAATGTTCAGTACCAACTTTTTGCCTCCATCTTCAGGATAAAACCATATACAAGCTTAAAAATGTCTACAAAGACCAGTTATCTTGACAGAGATTTTTCGCGGTTTGTCTCAATCCTTCCACGCAAGTTGAGGAATAACACTTCAACTTAAGATATCACCTGTTCCTTCCACATCCTGTCCAATTCATTACTCATTTATCAGATTATCATTCGGTGCAGTATAGACTGAATTATTGTCAGCGCAGTTAAATAAGCCATAAGGAAATTAGAAAATAAACATAAGACACTGAAATCCAATACAATAAAACTGAAAGGCTTGCTGGGAATGTTCAGCGTGGAAACGACACTTTACGTCGGTTAAACACGGTTTGAGGTGCATAATTTACGTCATGACAAGGTCATCAGCACTGCGGGACGAATAAATTACAGTGCATCAATCAATAAAGGAATGCCGTTATTGGCCATCAAATGTATCTGACAAATTGCAGCGGAACAAATGAGGCTGATGGTGGTTATTTTTAGCAGTCTATAAAGACCGTTTGGATGCACTTTAACGCTACGTTACCTTTAAACATTCTCACGTAAGCATAACGATCGGTGGGTAATAAAAGCGGCTACAGACCATCAAGATAGGTGGGCAGCGAGGCCATCTTTCCGGGACAGGATGAAGCAACTTCAAGGACGTAGCTCCATCTGCCCAGCAAAGTCACGCCCTAAATCAGGGGTGTGCATATTCACAAACAATACAATTCCCGCCCCGGCGAGAATATTCAAGGCAGCCACAAGCAACAAACCAAACAAAACGGCGAGTAACATATATACAATAACTGAATATGCATATGTGCATCACACAGTCCAGAAAAGCAACCATGTACAACCCAAGGACACCCAAATAAAACTGATTTTATCACACATAACCAAAATAACCAGAGGCAACTACAATAAGAGGAAAGAAAACTGCATTGCAGTGAGCAACAGCATCATTAACCATAAAAACAACTTCGGTTTCCCTTGCCAATCTTCATTCCACCAAATTCTCCATCATCATAATCACCCGGGGCAGGCTACAATAGGCCAATCAGTGGCCGCCGTGCCGAGTGGACCCAGTTGGACTCGACCCCCCCACTAAGCGAATTTAACCATAAAAACTTGTAAACCTGAAGATGGCACGTAGTGTTCAATAAAGGAATACGAAGAAAGAATAGTGAAATACGTTGCTCATAGCCGACACAAAACCTCCAAAAGTCAGGACAGTATTCCCGGTTGTTTTGTTTGCGTAGGAACTCGTATAGTCTGTACAGAGATTCTGCTTACGGGTCTAATGTTTAACTTATTATAAGGTTAGATTCCTGTCATGCATAATTGTCTGATACGTTTCCTGTTCAGAATGATCTGAAGCAAGGAAATGTCCTTCATGGCTGTTAGTTTTCGTCTTCCTTGTACAATACGTCATTATGTAGGAGGGATTGAAGTTGCGCGTAAAATATCAATATGAGTTCTAATGGTATTAACTTACTGAGAGGGAAAACATCAAAACTACACAGAAAAGATCAGAAAATGTTCCAAATATTTGTAAGGAGTTTTTTATTCGATTAGTGGGGGGTGAAGTCCAGCTTGGTCCACTCGGCACGGCGGCCACTGATTGGCTTATTCTACCTGCCTCGGGTTATTATGGTGATGGAGAATTTGGTGGAATGAAGATTGGAAGGGGAAACCGAAGTACTCGGAGAAAACCCGCCCTAGCGCCACTTTGTCCACCACAAATCCCACTTGATCAGACCCGGGATCGAACCCGGTCCGCCGCGGTGTGAAGCCAGGGACTAACCGCTTGAGTTATGGCACGGCCTATGGAAGGAGTTTGGTCTAAAACAAATGCAGGTAAAACTAAGTATATGTTGATATCTTCCCAGCAGAATGCAGAGCAAAATAAAAATATGAAGAATCCAATAAATAAATAATGTCATGGAGCAGAGCCCTTCTTGACATGTTAATACATGGTCCTTACTCAAGAAATTCACAGTATTTTACGAAACCCGAAGCTTCAGTGAATGATTTAAAAGAGCCAATAAATCATTCTGTTATGAACCAAAAGAAACCCTCTGGGAAAGTAGCAACAGCCCAGAATTGCGTCACGAAGAAGTGAGATGTAGATTAAGTTCGGCGAATCCTTTGTCTTCCAGCCCAGTATCTAAAAGTATGAAGATTAAATTACACAAGTTCTTTCATGCGGGTGTGAAACTTTACCTACTGTCGTAAGCGTGGAATATCACGTGAACAGAAATAACTGGACCTCGGACAAGAGAAGACATAGACGGAAGAAGAATGTAACGTAATAAAGATTTTCATAATTTGTAACTAACCTCAAATATAAGCGGCCTCCGTAGTCTAGAGGTAACGTTCCCACATCATGACTCAAGATACGCGGGTTCAAACCCGGCGGAGGTCGTGGAATTTTTAAGGGCGGAAAAATTCAGGGAACAAGTACTCCGGGAGAGACTTTAAGCCGTGGGTCCTGCGTTGTAGATTTACGGCACGTAAAAGATCCTCATGTCTCTAGGAGACCTC